TATATATAAAGGGATGTGTGTGTGTGTGTGTATGTGTATTTTCCTGAGTGGAGGGTATACTAGGGATTGAATTCAGGGGCACTTGACCACTGAAACACCTCCTCAGCCCTATTTTGTATTTTATCTAGATACAGGGTCTCACAAGTTGCTTAGCACCTCACTTTTGCTAAGGCTGGTTTTGAACTCACTATCCTCCTGGATCACCCTCCCCAGCCACTGGGATTACAGGCATGCACCACCACAAATGGGTTAAAAGTTTTTTATAACTATATAAAGGATATAATGTGAGAAAAATAGGAAAAAACCTAGGAGATACAAATGTTAAAATAGATTAGAAGTAAGATCTAGGGAACAATAAAGAAAATACTCAAAAATTGGAGAACTAATTTAACTAGTTGGAGCTATTAACAATATACTCACCATTGAAAGAAAAAAGGAAAGACAATCCCAACAATTTATTGCTGTCAAGAGGCACACCTCTGAGGCAAAGACATCCTCAGGCTAAAGTAAAAGAACAGAAAATTATATTCCTTGGAAATGGAGATTGAAAGCAAGCAGAAGTAGCTTCTCTAATAGCCAACAAAGCAGATTTCAAGCTGAAATTAATGAGAAGAGACAAAAAGTTTCCCTTCACACTATAAAGGAAGAAACCCAACAAGAATATACCATAATACTAAATATTTATGCCCCAGAACTTTTCAAAATAGTATCTAATGAGCCTCTGGATTTCACTGATGTCTGTGGTGATATGTCCTTTTTCATCTCTAATTGCTTCTCTTTCATCTGTCATGTTATCGCATCTCTCTCTTTCTTTTACTTAGTTAGGCTAAAAGTCTATCAATCTTGTTTATCTTTATTAAAAAATCTTTATTACATTTTTTCTTTGTACTTTATAATTTTCTATTAATTTTACCTTAGATCTTAGTTATTCTTTTTCTTCCATTAGTGTTAGAATTGGTTTGTTCTTGTATTTCTCAGACTTTCAGATGCATCATTAGATTGTTTCTTTGGGATCTCTCTGCGTTTGGAGTTTTTGTTGTTGTTTCTGTTGTTGTTCATGTAGGCACTTATAGCTATAAACTTTCCCCTTAGAACAACCTTCAAAGTGTCCCAGAATTTCTGGTATGTTCTATGTCTATTCTCAGTTAATTCTAAGAATTTTTTAAAAGTTTATTTAAAAAAAGAACATTGGAGGGACAATCCACATGGTCCCTTCCTAATCTTTTTGCCCCATAATTCTGTCATAATAATGGCAAGTTGCATCACCTCATAGGATTTCACTGGCATAGTCTCAGGGTTTTAATCTGGATGCAAGGTAGGTACTATTGTTTAAGTGTGTCCCCCAAAGCCCAAGTGTTGGAAACTTAATTCCTCAATTTAGCAGTGTTGAAAGGTTGGGTCTAGTGGGAGGATTTTGGGACAACTTATCATAAATACCTGAATACCTTTATCACATTAATGGACTTCTTTTTTAAAATTATTTGTTTATTCTAATTTGTTATACATGACAGCAGAATGCATTGCAATTCATAGTACACAGGTAAGGCACAATATTTAATTTCTCTGGTTGTACACAATGTAGCATCACACCATTCATATCTTCATACATGTACTGAGGGTAATGATGTCCATCTCATTCCACCATCTTTCCTATCTCCATACCCCCTCTCTTTTGCCCTTTGCCCTAACTAAAGTTCCTCCTTTCCTTCCATGCTCCCTCCACCCCCATTATGGATCAGCATCCATGTATCAGAGAAAACAAGGAATGGTCTTCTTATTGTGGGAACTTAATTCTCTTTCCTCCTTCCTGCAGAGAACCATTTGCTTTTCTTCTATTTTGAATTTAATGAGAATGAGTTCCTCCCCTTAGGCAGCTATTTGATGTTGGACCTCCCTTACTCCAGAATCATGAGACAAAATAAACCTCTTTAAAAAGTTTCCAGTCTTCAGTCACTCTATTATAGCATTAGAAAATGGACTGAGAGAGGTCCATTTAAGCATAAATATAAAAATATAATATCTTTTTTCTTTATTCATATCCCATCTCTAAGAATCCTGATCTGTCTTGGTTTCCACACAACAATGTTTTCCTGTCCCACCACATACAACTTCCTAATTTCAATTTCTTTTATTTCTCTTTGCCTCTACATTCATGTATCTTATTATTCACTTTACCTGGCTTATCTAACACTGACTTTATCAGAGTGTTCCTACTGATTTTGTATTGAGGTACAGGATAGGAATAATAGGTTTGCCAACAGAGACTATTCTAGACACACTGGCATAGTAAAAAGAAGAGTAAATGAAATTATTTCCTATATATCATTTCTCTCTTTAGAAATTGAGTTTCAGCCATGAAAATAAATAAGAAATGAATAAAGATTTTGAGTACATTGTAAAGCCCTAAACCTTGAGGAGGGCTAGGGGTGTGTGTGTGTATGTGTGTGTGTGTGTGTGTGTCTGTGTGTGTGTCTATGTAAAAATTTTCAAAATAAAATGATGTACTGAAAAATAACAAGAATCACATGGTTTACACAAAGAGATGGAAATTTTATTCAATTAAACTTTAAATGAGAGGCTGGGGTTGTGGCTCAGTGTTAGAGTGCTTACCTAGCACAGGCAAGGCCCTGGGTTTGATCCTCAGCACCACATAAAAATAAATAAAGAAAATTAAGGTTAAAAATTCCTTTAAATGTCTAGTGAAATTATGTACCAAAAATTATGTATTATCAATAAAGAAAAAGTACTTTTTAGTCTTTAACTTCCTATAATTTTCCTCTAATTTGTTCATAAAACAGAACAAACAATTGCTATACTAATATAGATTATTCACCAGTAGAATTGCAAACTAATTTATTAGTTCTCTGACTAGATAGCCTGAAAAAAAAAAAAGAATGTTTTTTGCTGGCATAATCATTTTTAAGGCATAAATGAGCATTGTGTAGTTTTTTTTTTTTTTTTTGGTATATTGCTTTGTTAATCATAGCTCAAACCTAGTTATCACTGTTATTTTTGGAAGAGATAAGAAGGAGAAGAGGAGGAGGATTGTTTTTGCATTCAGACTTGGTGAAAGTAAAAGCACAGTAATGCAAAACCACACAAGACTGACAGTGTTCATCCTGGCAGGTTTGACTGATGACCCAGAATTGAAAGATGTGTTATTTGTCTTCCTGCTTCTTACCTACTTGCTGAGTGTCACTGGCAATCTGACCATCATCACACTCACCCTACTAGATAAGGACCTGAAGATCCCCATGTATTTTTTCCTTCGGAATTTCTCTCTTAGAAATTTCCTATACTGCTGAGGGCCATTGCCAAGTAGGAATGAATGGGCTTGCCTTTGGACCCAGGTCATTTGCAGTGACATTGCATGTATGCTTGAGTAAGGTGACCTTGCTCAAGGACCAGGGCAGATCCAGGTTTAAGGTGTACCCTGCTGGGAATAGGGTGTATCCTGCTGCCTCAGGCACGCCTGCTCCTTGAGTTCCCCTTGAGTTCTCCTGGGATCCAAAAAGTATTTGGGATTCGGAGCCTGGTGGGTTACGTGAATTTTGCCCAGAATGTGGATTTTCCCAGAACGTGTGTAGAGTGCTGGTGTGCGTTCAGGAATAAAGAACTGCTGTTTGAATCTACAAGGCTGTGAGTGGCTCGTGATTTTGTGCCCAGACTGTGCAGCACTATACTATTAAATTGCTGGGGACACGACCAGGGCAACTGGGGACACGACCATTTCCTATGCTGTTGTGCTACTCAAGTGTTTTTTGCCTTCCTACTTGGAGCATCAGAATTTTACTTGTTGGCATCTATGTCTTATGACCCTTATGTGGCCATCTGTAAGCCCCTTCATTACATGACCAGCAAAAACATGCATTCAGCTGGTCCTCAGTTGTTGGCTTGCTGGCTTGTCATCTTCCCACCACTCATCTTAGGTCTAAATATTGACTTCTATGCCTCCAACGTTGTTGATCATTTCTACCGTGATACTACACCCCTCATGCAGATCTCCTGCACAGACATACAGCTCCTGGAGATGATGGGATTCATTTCAGTTTTGGTGACACTCTTGGTCACACTGGTCATGATGATGGTATCCTACACCTATGTTGCTCTGATCATTCTAAGAATCCCTTCAATTAGTCAGAGGAAAAAGGCTTTTTCCACATGTTCTTCTCACATGATCATGATATCCCTTTCCTATGGCAGCTGCTTCTTCATTTATCTTAAACCTTCAATCAAACAAAGAACATCTTTTTCCAAGGGAATCGCTGTCCTTAATACCTCAGTTGCTCCACTTTTGAACACTTTCATCTATACCTTATGGAATCAACAAGTGAAAAAGCCTTTGTTAATCTGATACACAGGATTGTCTCTTTCTCAACGAAATTAATGTTTTACTTTGTTATACAAAGGATATGAATAAAGAAGGCCCAGGTAGTATCAACAGCTCCCAAGAGATAGTTTCCTCCTTTACTTTTTATTTCATTGCTTTGACATTTAATTTTATATCCTTTGAAAAATATTTTTTTCATAAAACTTTGGTTTGAAATGCTATTTTTTCTTTTAATCTCCATTAAAGCTGCCTTTTATTTTTGACTTTATTTCCTCCTTTCTCTTAGTTTTCTTTCTATGGACATATGAAAATGTTGAACTTTCACATTTAATATGTCTCTTTTGTCCCTTAAGAATTGCAAAAAGGTAAGACTATAAAAGTTTTTCTCATTTAAAATTGCATTTGACTTATGACCCATCAAACTAATTTAGAATTAATATTTATTTTTATGCTTCCAATTAACTGATGTATATTGTATTTAAGTAAATTAAAAGAAAATTATAGCAGAGTTTTTCATGTTTCCTTTGAGCACTATTTATCTTTGACATGTATATTCAAATATTTTATATGTGTTTCTCTAATTGTATATTCACACATATCTATGTATATGTGCATAAGCTCTAAAATAACAAATCACTTAATTTTTATCTGAAAGAATTTACATTTATAAATGATTTTTATCATAATTAAAAGAAAATGTGATTATATTACTGGCTCATTCTGAAAATCAATAATAATATAACACTTATTTGATGGTCTCAATCTCCCCCAAATTCCTCTGATTAACTTGAGATAATCCTAAAGCAAATTCTAAATGATTTGTGAATCTTTGTGAAATAAGAGCAGTGCTAATTCTATTTTGTTTTCAAATTTTATTTGTCTGACTTCAATGTCTGACCTAGGTATATATTAGTACAGATATGCAGATTGATATAGTTATAGTATACTTCCTACCAGTGATACCAAGATAGTAGAAGATTCAATTTCTAGCTTACTGATTTCCTAGCTTACTGAATCTATTAGGAGACTCTGAAATTTAAATTTTGTGGAATAAACAGAACTTCAAAAGAATAAAATATAATAGTATTTTTAAAGATACACATCTAATTTCATGAACATTTTCCTATAAACATCTGTATTAGATCGGATTTCCTTTTTTCATTTCATTTTTTAAAAGTGAGAATCTTAGTTGGAAAAAATATATTTGAAAATATCACCCAAAGGGATGGGATTAAATATACCCAGGGAGAAAAATAAGCATAGCATATAATTAGACAATTATATAAGTTTCTGTATAATTTGTAGAATGAATTGAATATTAGAAAATATTTAGGTTATAAACATGATTTCAGGAAAAACTATTTAAACAATTGATTATACATTATTTATAGTTTTTTTCATTTATGTATACATTTTTTTCTAAATTGTCCATTTACACCTGATGATTGTAGAATTATCTAAGGTTCTGAGATATGAAGAGAACACTAAATTATATCTGTGCACATACATATGTACATATATACACACACATATGTATAAATATCTTGTGACAATGTAATAAAAGTCAAGCCTAAAGAACTCTCAATAGATTCACTAATTTTGATTCTGTTATATATCAGTGAGGACCGATTTGCTTAAAACAAAAAATACCATTCAAGTTAAACTACTTGTCATTTATTCTGAAATACTTCATATATTAGCTTTTCTGAGCCCTCTGAGTATTCAGTTCAAATATCACTTTTCTTAAGTATCTGTTTTTTCATTTCAATGCAGAGTTATCAATCAGTTCTCTGTGCTACTTATTTCATAACTTTTTTTTAGTAACTCAATGACCTATCCCACAAGTCATTCTAATTTGCCAGTTGATTTACCCATAAAATTAATTATTTGAATTAAATTCTTTGAACATAGATTCTAATAGTTATACACTTCCATTCTGACTATGCAAAGAGCCATGTTTTTTTACTCATCAACTTAATCTTCCCGAATTGAAATAAAGTATTTAAAGTGAAAGACCTTTATTTATTATTCAAAACAAAACTGTCCAATACAGCTAGTTTGGATTAGGCAGAGTGGGGTGAAGGAGGGTAGGGTGAGGGGCACAGAAAGGATAGTAGAATGGATAGGATATCCTTACCCTGTATGCATGTATGACTACATGGCTGATATAGTTCTACATCATGTACACTCAGAAAAATGAGAAGTTATTTCAAATTTATTATTTGTAAATTTAATGTAAATAACGAGAATAAATTTTAAAAAATATATAAATGAGTGAAAAATGGAAATATAGGTAAAATTTTGTAGGAAAGTTTATATAAATATATATGATGTCACAACTGAAAAAAGAAAACTGTCAGAATGTTTTTTTTATATTAAAACAAATATCTCAAAAATGTGATCAATTAAATAGTAATAAAAAAATCCCTTACCTTCTAAATAAATAATTTTATTTGTACATTTTAATGTAAATATTTCTTTAATAATTTTAATTAGAGAATAAGTAATTTAATATTATGTTAGCATTAATCTATGATTAGACTCCTTAAAAGCTCTATGTCATTTATACACATGAAATAAATTGTCAGAATTTTGAAGTTTTCTTTTGAATAATACAAAACATAATTTTCTAATTTTTAATTTGTTATCTTTATTGCTCTCTATCTCCAAACATGTCATAATCACCATATTCAGATGTTCTTACAAATTATATTCATTTTCTAAAGATAGTCATAGCTTGAAAGTTTTAGTAACAGATTCTCTGTTTGCTAACTTACTTATTGAGCTAATTTTACATTCCATTGACAACATTTTAAATTTAAAGCTGAGTTGGGATTTTTATTGTGATCAAAATACTTGAGATATTCTGGCTTTTGTATCACAGTGATATCTCATGAATTTGTAAGTATTCCCTTATTTTTTTCAAAGAGTTGAGGAATTGATATTAATTCTTCCTTGAATTTTTGTGGAATTTATCTTTAAAACTATTTTATCTTGGGCTTTACTTTTTGGAGTGAAGTTTGGTTATGACTTCACTTTCTTTATTTTTACTTAGTTTTTTCAAGCTTGCCACAGTCTGGCTGGGCACAAAATCATGAGCCACTCAAACAGGAACAAACTTTATTTTTGAAACTCCCGCCAATGCCTGTATGCTCCCAGGAAATATGCCTACCCACACACGTGGCATTTTCCCCCAGACACACACACCAACAGGAAATCCCTCCTCTGGAATTCCCTCCTACCGCACTTCCCCAACCAATGGGAACTCTCCAGGCCAAGGTGGACAGCAGGGGTCTAATATCCATTTGAATGCAGATCTTAACATAATCATATCATCTCAATGGCTTGCTGGCATCACCTTTCAACCAAAAATGCCATGCATCATTTTTACTTGGCTATGGCTCTTAGCAAGGCTATTCATGATTGAGTCTTGATGGGTATATATTTTTAGGAATCTGTTCATTTCCTCTGGTTTATGTAATTTTGGGGACATAAAATTTTTCATAATAGTCCATTATGATTCTTTTATTTTTGAGGCATCTGTAGTAATGTTTCTCTTTTTCATTTTTGATTTTACTAATTTTATTTTTCTCTCATTTTATTTTTAATTAGACTGGCCTAGGATTTGTTGATTTTGTACTTTGAAGAACATAACTCTTGTTTAGAAAAAGTAAAACATTATGCACAATTTCTGAAGGTAGAAAGAAGCAAACAAATCCTTTTTTGTGACTCAATAGGATAATTAATTACAAAATGAAAAAAGTTCTCAATTATTTTACTAAAAGTTCATTAAAAACTCAATTAAAATACCAACAAGGTTTTTCTTATGATTGTAGGTAGAATCAATTATATATGATAAAAATAGTAAAGCAACTATTGCCTAAAAAATTTGTTAAGAAAAGAAAATCTACAAGGAACAACAATTATCAGGGATTGAATATTTAATAAAATATCAAGTTGTATGTGTATTAATAAATAGGTAAATTGGAATAGAATGAAGAAATTGATATATACTATATTATATATGAAATTTTGCATATAATAAAGATAGAAGATTACAGGAAATGGATGAACTTTTAAATACATATTATAGGGAAAATTGATAAGTAATTTGGATATAAAGGTCACTCATTTCTTAAAATATAAATAAAAACTGAGTTCAAATAGCTTAGGGATCTAAATGTAAAAAATGAAACTAAACATAATTAAAAGAAAATGTGGGTAAATTCCTTTTTGAATTTTTAACTGATACAAAGAACATAAAATTATATTTATGGAATATGATCTGAAATTTTTATGTGTACCTTATAAATTATTTAAATAAGGGTAAACACATATATCTCCCCAAATATTTTTTATTTCTTCATGGTGAAAACATATACTTTCCTTTCTCTTAGCTTTTGAAATATATAGTGTCTTTATAATCACCCTATTGCAATAGCAAAGAACTTCGTAATCCTATCTAAATGTGTCTTAATTCCCAGTAATATACCAGTTCTCATCCCTCCTTCTTCCTTGTTCTGCCCAGTTCTGTTAACTGTCATTATATTTTTGGATTTCGTGAAGTAAACATTTTTACATCATTGTAGTACTTGTCTTTCTTTGCCTAGCTTTTTCCATTTAACATAAAGATCTCCAACTCCACCCATGCTTTTTCAAATGGCAAGATTTCATTTTTTCTCCAGGTGTTGGTTTTAGTGCATGACTGTACCATGTTATCATTCATTAGTTGATGAACATTTAGGTTGTTTCATTTCTTGTATAATTTGAATAGTCTACGATAAACATAGGAGTACAGCTGTTTCTTTGACATACTGATTTCATCTCCTCTGAATATGTGCCTAGCACTGGGATTGTTGGAACATATCGTAGTTCTATTTCTAATTTTTGAGGAAGTTTTATGCAGTTTTCCATGATTGTCCTAGTTCACATTCCCACCAATATGGGCAAGGATTCTATTTTTTCCACATCTTCACTAGCACTTGGTATCTTTTGCCTTTTTGATAATAGTCACTCTTATTTGA